GGAAGAGCGTAGTCGATGTCACTGAACTGTGCATGTAGAAATTTTTGAAATGGTATATCTTTGGCTATATATATTTTCCGCAAAAAAAAAAAAAAAAGGTCGAGAAGGGAGAGGGTTGACATGTAGTGGGGTTGTTAATCAACGTCATAAAACAATATGTGTACTACTGTTTAATGAGAAACTATTTGTTCTGTAAACCTTCACCTGAAGTACAATTAAAAAAAAAAAACTTTAAAAAATAACCATCAGGCCTTTCTAGAATAGAGAACACATGAGCCAACAGGAAACAGCTTCCTTTGTGAAAACAGCACTGGTCTGGGTATCCTGGATTTGACATCTGGCACTGCTGCTGAGCGTTCTTGGAGAAGTCAGTTAACCTTTCTGGACCTAGTTTTCTTATCTTTAAATTGAGAGAGTTGAAATATGTGATCTGTAATTTACCTTCCAGCACTAGCTCAATGATTCTGACTTACTGTCAAACAAGGTGGTCTGGGACTTTTTGCTTCAAGGGTTATTAGTTTCTGCTGTAACTGCAGTTTACTTTGGAGTCTTGCTCAGAGACCAAGCTTAAAATATGAGCCTTGCCCCTCATTTACTTCTGCTGGATCTTGACTACGTCTTTCCGGTCCTGTTGGTATTTCCCTCATTCAGTATGTCCTTCAGAACCCTTCTCCTGAACTGTACCTTGCACTAATATCACCTTGCCTCCCTCCCACGTTCTGCCACTAGAATTCATCTTAGACACAACAGCTAGATTAATCTCATCATTCCTCTTCTCTATAGAAATAAACTGTAGTGGATCTCCATTGTCATCCAAGGAAAGGCCAAACTCATTAGCTCAGTATTCAGTATCATCTATCAATCTTAGCTCACATTACTCCCCTTCACATAATCTACAGAATAGTTGAACTGAACTTAATATTCTCTCAGTGCCTTTGCTTGTGCTGTTCCCTGCACCTCGTTATACTCTGCCTATTCCCCCATTGTCACACAGTCACAATTTTCTCATCTCAGGTGCCACGTTCTTCATGAAATCTCTCAGGTTTTGCACAACCAGAAGTAATCCTTTTCTTCTCAACTCCCATAGCACCTTTTCTGTACCTACTAGTGCTAATTATTTTGTTTTTATTTTCTGTACCTTCTTATCTCTCCTGACTAAGCTCCCCGGTGCTTAGGAAGTACTATATTATACTGCACAGAGTGGATGCCCGGTAAATATTTGTTGAATGAATGAATTAAAGTTCAGATCCTGTTTTCTCTGGTTAGTAGGGTTTCTTATTTGTTTTCTAGATAATCACTAACGAGAATGTAGAAAAGAATTCTGCCCATAGGAACTAATAATAGGAACCCTGGTGTGGATGTGTTAACAATCCCCCAAATTTGTATTTTAAGACAGGCAAACAAGCAAAATGTTTGCAAGCTTGAGCCTATCTTTTAATATTGAATTTCCAGACTTGGGCTTTCAAGGCAATATAAGATTCCTTCCTTTTCAGTTGAAAAGGTAGTTTGTTTATGCCAGTTAGTACGCTTAGCAATTTTTTTTTGGGTGGGGTAGTCTTGTGAAGTTTTTTTGAGTAAACAGTTACAGACTTAGGACTTTTGAATCATTTACAAAAGAGCCTTTCTATTTTTTATAGTTGAAGCACTTTAGTACCCACTATTCTTTTTTTTGTACCCGCTTGAGTTCACAGTACCATATAATTCAGAGCCTTGGTGGCATAGTGGTTAAGAGCTCGCTCGGCTGCTAACCAGAAGGTCGGCAGTTTGAATCCACCAGCTGCTCCTTGGAAGCCCTGTCTGGCGGTTCTACCTTGTCCTGTAAGGTCAGTATGAGTCGTAATTGACTCGACGGCAACGGAAACCTTAATAATTCGACGATGGCACACAACCACCACCATGTAATTCGTGTTTAGATTAGAAATTACATTTTATGCGTGCACTTCATGCTCTCAGAACCATTAATAAGATCCACAGAAGTTTGATATTTCTGTGGGTTATAGATCTGGTTATAAGCTAATCAACCCATAACTATAGCAGACCCTTGGAAGTAGTTTGCATGCAGAAGCTAGAGAACATCCTAGTTGAAAGAAACTGCTGGCAAACTTCTGTAATGTAAGAATTGATGACTAGAGCATATTCCATCATGTCAGAAAATATTAGCTAATTTTGAGAAGAGAAATAGGATCCCTTAAAATTACCCACTGCCACATTTTGTCCCAGTGGCCTCTGTTAGCTACTCTTTGTTTAGAATACTGTGCTGAAATGAGCTAAGTCTTTGGCATTGTCTCCGTAAACCCCAAGGAAGGCAAATCCATTTCACCTAGGATTAGACAGTTAACATAGGCATCACCTCACTTGTCTCCAGATGATGTAAGATTAATCTCAGTTCTAGCAATCTCCTATTATCAGTCTATTGCTGTAATTAAGAAAAAAAAAAAAACCCTGTTGCCATTGCCATCGATTCAATTCCGACTCAGAGACCCTATAGGACAGAGTAGAACTGCCCCATAGGGTTTTCCAGGCTGTAAATCTTTATAGAGGCAGACTGCCACATCTTTACATCTTTCTCCCCTGAAGAGGCAGGTGGGTTCGAACTGCTGACCTTCTGGTTAGCAGCCAGGCTCTTAACCCCTGCTCCACCAAGGCTCCTTACATTGGTGTAGTGTCCCCAAAATAAAAATTGCCACATTGCTTTCTACCCATTCAGTTTGGTTTAACTTATTATAGTGGCTCTTTAAAGCTGTTGAGGATGATTTACCTGCCCCATAGGGTTTCTAAGGAGCACCTGGTGGATTCGAACTGTCGACCTTTTGGTTAGCAGCTTTAGCTCTTAACCACTATGCCACCAGGGTTTCCATTAAATAAATAAAGACTACTTTATAATCAATTACATGATTGGTCCCTTATTCTTTCTTGCCATTAAATAGAAAGTAATACAGCATATTTATATAAATTAAGCTCTTTGAAAGTTAATTTAGCTAGCATTGATTTATAGAAAGAGATATATATGTTTCTTCTTGTGTGCAGATAATAGGAATGGGCCTTGATAAGGAGCAATAAGATAAATATACCCCAGGGAAGAACAAAAAGCTGATCTCCAGTTACTCTTCTAGCAGCAGCTTTGGGAGGAAGGGCAGGACTGATCCATGACAAGCAGTTCTGCTACACTGACCATTAAGTTACTTGGGGCTTTTGGAGGGGTAGGGGCGTGGCAGGTAGATTTTAAGAAATCTGTCTGTGTTTGATCTGTCAATCTCAGTCTCTCTCTCTTTCTCAGGAGTTAGAAGCTGCTCTTCACAGAGATGACGTGGAGTTTATCAGTGACCTGATCGCCTGCCTGCTTCAGGGCTGTTATCAACGAAGAGATATCACGTGAGTAATTCTGATCTTACTAAGTATTTCTTGCAAAGGAGACTAATTAACCCAGTCATTGTGATGTTTCATGTCTCCTATAACAAACCAGAACTGATTTCTAGCCAGTAAGTAACTGTATAGGTTGAGTATATACAAGTGGGTCCCCAGGCCCTGTGTTTGGTTCCTTCTGCAGTTCAGTTTTTATTCCATTAAAATCTTTGAGTTTATTTCACTCTCACAAATCTGTACTGTTACTTATTCTTGGATGCAACAGCTAACATATTCAAGTGTAGAATTTCTTCCTGTCAATATAGATGCCTTTCTTTCTGATTTTTATTTGCTGTACTGCTAAAATGTTGCGTAACAGATTAAAACTAGATTTTACAACATATCTGCCACTTGTATATCTTCTGTTGTTCACATAACCAGTAGCGTGATTTTAACTCAGAGCATCTAGTTCTCCTCTTAGCTCTCCAGGCCTTTGAGATGTGCAGCCATTTAGAGCAAAATTTTATCTTATTTAGACAAAGGGGCTCCCTGACGTGGCCTTTTCTCTTGTTTTGACCCTAACTTGATATTTTCCTTGCCACATTTCTGTGCAGATCGGAACTATAGGGCAAATTTGCAAAAAGCTGAGACAAATGGGTTCCCCGGTCTCTTGGCCGTCCCAGCGCCATGCGGAGGTTTGGATTGTTATGATTTATATTTTCCAGACATTCAAAGATGACGTTTCAGATATTTTTGTTCTAATAAATCCACTCTTAGGTATCTGTTAGGGCTGGGTAACTTATAATTGTGAGGTAAGAAAGATCGACTGAGTGCCATTTTCTTAGGGTGGAAATCTTTATTCATTAGGGGATGATTATTGTGCCTGGACTCACTCTTAATATAATGACTTTATTTCCTAGAATACCCAAGTTTTTGCTAAACAAAGACTAGAAAGAAAGACTCATCTATCATCTTACTATACAAACATGATAATTTAAGTTTTTAGTTTATAGTCTCCCACTTTATTTTTGGATGTAGACTTGGGAGTTTGTGGTTTTTAAGCACTTGTAGTCATACTGTGTATGTAACTTCATATCCTGCATTTTTTCCCATTATAACAGTTGTTTTTCTTATAACTACCTTTTCCTTAAATGCAGTTGTCAAATAATTCAATCTGATAGATGGAATATTGTGTCTAGCTTTTAATTATTGTGAACACTCTATGGTGTATAGTCTTGAATATAAAAGTTTACACACCTGTTGAATTATCTTTTTAGTACAAATTTCTGGAAGTGAAATCCTTTAAGATTTTTGACAAATTACCAGGCTGCCATCACAGAGTTAGTTACATTTTACCTGTGAACCATCAGTGAGTTCATGAGGGTGTCTGTTTTCCTGAGCCTCATCAACTCTGGACATTGCCAACTGTATGCTGGACTGTAGGTGATGGTAAGACAAGCACATTCTTCTAGCCATCATGGAGCTTATAGACTTGTGCTGGGTTGGGAGTGGATGTCTGCTAATAATGACAACAATGATTATACAATTATAAATTTAAAAAAACTACTGTGATAAGTACTCTGAAGTAAAAGTATAGCGTGTCAACAGAGCATAAAACCTGATGTGAGGAATGATTTGTGAACCAAGCCTTTACATAACCTAGGCCAGTGCCCGCATATTATCAGTCCCAGTAAATGAGTGAGAATGTGAGTAGTGAATGAATGAATAAATAAACCCATCAAAAAAATGCAAGTAGGAAGAGAGGTTTCTCCCAGGCACTGAAGCAAAAACAGTTTGATAACCTAGAGTGGAGCCTGGAGGTTACAAGGTAGAGGGCCAGGTATTCTTCTGAAATATGATTTGTTTGAGCCGTAGTCTTGACCCCCAAGTATTAAATTTATTGCCAATATCTAAAAGTGAAATTTCACATTTAAAATCCCAATTTGTAGCTTCTAGAAACCGTCTTGAGCCCCTATGTGGTACAAACAATTAGTACGCTCAGCTGCTAACCATAATGTTGGTGTTTCAAGTCCTCTCAGAGGCACCTCAGAAGAAAGGCCTGGCAGTCTACTTCTAAAAAGTCAGCCATTGAAAACCCTATGGAATACAATTCTACTCTGACGTGCATGGGGTCACCATGAGTTAGAGTCAACTTGATGGCAACTGGTATGGTATTGTATGGGAAACATCTAAGGGCTGTTACGAAGGTAAAATTGATTGGTTTGGTATCTCTAATTGTGACCAATGTGATATGCAAAAAAATTGCATTTCATTGATCATTCTTTCCCTGTCCAATATCTCTTCTTGGGTTTATTGGGCATATTTGTATTGATTATATATTTGAATCTCCTGTTAAATACTTGACTCATTTCTGTTCGTGTATTGGCTGAAGATCAGGCAAAAGAAATGCTCACTTAAGATTTTTAAATAATATGACAAGCTACCATCCTCAAAGGTTGTTCGATTTTATTCTTACACAAAAGTATCTGTTTCCTTAATCCTCGTCAGCTCTGGACATTGCATATAACATGGCAGCCCTTTGTGCTGATAGGAGGCAGTTTTATATAATGCAGTATAATCATGGGAGTGATGTTCATTTGCCATATTCTGTTAGTTAAAAACAAGTCACAGGTTCCACCCTCATTATAGGGGAAGGAATTATGCAAGGGTGTGAATATCAGGGAGTGTGGATAATCAGGGACGTCTTAGAGGCTGCCTACTACACATATCTTTATTAAATGACCGTAACTTCTAGAACAAACTAAATAATATTGGTAAGATATGTACATAATTGTTTCCTTTTAAACACATTTGCTTAATTTTTAACAATATTTCATAAATTCTGTATATTTTGATATACTTTTGAACAAGAATGAATTAATTGATTTTTTATAATCACATGTGGTATTAATAAGTGCCATATATAAAGGAATTATCAAAAAGAGGTTTTAATTTGCCCTTTTGTCTGGGTAAATACCTACAGCCAACTTGTTTGTAGTTAATTTTATTTCTCACATATCATTAGTTTCCACTATAACTGAGAGAAAAAAATATACTTACTGAAAATAATGGAGTATTAATAGCTTGGATGCAACCTCTTTCCATCAATCATTATATTTTCATGTGGGTTTATTTCATTGCTTAGTTTCCCTGTGAGGTGAAGAGGAAGAGATGGTGGATGGTCATCTCATTGATTAATACAGCCCCATTTTATAGGAAAGGAAACTAAGATTCAGAGAACTTAAGTTACTTATCAGGTCATGTAGCCAGTTAGAAGATGAATAATTCCCACAACATCTTGCTTTTAAGGTATGATGAAGTGCAAAGAATTGAAGGAACAGGAGTCTTAGGCGTGTTACTCATACCTTTGTGTGCTCTATTGTCTTTATATTTTATACGTGATTAATATATTTTGACTGTAAAAAAAAAAAGCTTTAAAAAAATCACAGAACATGGTGTTACAGGCAGAAGCACCACGTCATCACTCCACAGCAAAGATCCAAAAAACTAAGCCAAACGGAGAAAATGGCAATCCTGAAACCCTGTGCATCAAGTGAAGAGATAAAGAACTCAGCCAGCTACCAAATGAAGTAAGAAACTGACAGAACAGAGAGCAAAGAGAGATACATGCAGAGGTCCCCTATCAGCTAACCCAGTACGGATCTGCCATCGTGGACTCCTATCAGAGATCAGCAAACAGGGGGTACGAGAAAGCAGCTTCACAGAGCTTCCAGCAGGAGACAGAATAACTGGTAACCAGCGATACACGCTTTCCCAACCTCTACCCTTCTTCACCCCCACTTGGCCTGCTCTGCTTCCTGTGGCCAGTCTTTTGGCTGGGAAGCACCACCTACCCTCCGTTGTCTCTTAGATTCCACCCGCCCACCTTGGCTGGCTCCCTAAGTGCCATTTGTTGGCTGCTACTGTTGCTTTTTTCCACTTCTTTAGATTTCTTCCTTAACTCTCACCACCTCCTCCTCCTTTCTGTCAAATACCTGGGTCTTTGCACCATGTTTGCTGCTTCTGAAAGGCTGTGAAACGCCGCTCATGTGAAACCGCTTCCCAGCTCGTGCTGCCACACTGGTGGGATCCCTGGGCTTTTTTTTTCTTTGTTTTCAATTGTTTATTTGCTTGTTTGTTTTCTTTTTCTTTTCTCGAATTGGGAGCCCGTTCTAGCTGGGCAGTACTGCACGGCTTGGTACCTACACCCCAAGTTTGTGCAGACGTGCAGAGGGATCCCCGAGGGCATTTCTTTTTTCTTGATTCTTTTTTGGCGGGGGCTTTTTTTTCCCCCTTTCTTTCTTGGTTTTTTTATTTTTTTTTAAATTTTTTTTTGCTTTCTTTTCCCTCTTTTTCCCTTTTTGTCTTTCTTCATTACTCAGTTTCTCATCTCTCTATACTTTTCCTTATCTTCCTGTCCCCAAATACCTGGCCCTGAGTGACACCTCTACCCCTTCTAGCCAGGCTGTACTTCATGGCCTGGAAGCAGCTTCCCCAGACCTCATAGCTGCACCAGAGGGATCCCTGGGAACTTTGTTTTTCTTCTTTCTTTCTAATTTTTATTTACTCATTTTTTTCTTCTCTCTTTTTTTTTTTCTTCTTCTCTTTGTTTTTCTCCATTTCAAAGTCTCATCTCTCCACTCCAATAGCAAGCTCCCCTAGCACTCTTTTTTGTTTGTTGGTATATTTTTGGCTACTCTCTGCTCTGTCCCATACCCATCATAGCCCCACACGTCACAGTCTCCCCCCTCCATCCTGCCTACCTGCACTGTGCGCTGAACATCACACCACCAAGCAGCCCAGGCATGGCCTCCCGGAACCTGCCCTGAACTGATTACTAGCCCTCCCTGGTGGCCGTAGTAAGTGCCACAAACAACTCATCCCAGCAACTCCTCTTCAGCTAGACCTGCCCTACTGTACCATATCTAAGAGACTGACCCTGCCAGTTGGAGAAGGAGGTGAAAAGTATTGTGCCCAAAGACGAGCAAACAACAAAGAACACACAGCCAACCTGCTGAGACATATCCAAA